CAAAACAATAAAATCATCGAGCTATAATGTGTTCGTGAAAGATCACAGTGCAAATAATTACGATTTGTTACGACAATTATAAATAAAATAGCTACAATCAAATTATATATTTTGGTCAGTTTATTTACTGTTCAATAAAAAAAACCGATGTTCTTAATATAATTAAGCTTTACGAACATTATATAATAACAGATAATAAGAAAAAATATACACATAATTACATGCAAAACTCTGGACTAAATAGTAACAATACATTCTTTATGGCGAAATAAATTAGAGTAAGTTGACGTTTTATTTTAAAAATATCTAAAAGTGATAAATTTGTTAACAGTAAAAAAACTGAAATAGTTCAAAATAAAGCAAAATACATTCTGGTCTATTTAATAAAATCAAATTCTGAAAAATCCGCTTCACATCGCAACGGAACACATTAGAGATAAAGCAAAAGAAATCAAATAGATTTAAAATATAAATTTTTAGACACATTCAGTGCGCAAAAAGTGAATAAACGGACCACCCTGATAACTTTTGATCTAATGATCAGATCCTCACGTTCTGGGATTATTTGTTATTGGTTCAAGAAGATTCAATTGGTTTATTTGATTCAATTGGACTACAAATTTGCTAACTAATTTGAGCAAGGGCGATATTTTAAGTTACGAAATCAGACACTACAAAGTATTTTCTCTGAATAAACATGACATTTTTTCGACGGATTCGGATTTCTGAACCCCCAAAATATAGGGAGTAGCAGCAATCTGAGAAATAACTCGAGAACTTTTCAAGCGAATTGAAAAATTTTACACCCAATTATAAAGATAATTTATCTAAAGATAATTTAATGCTAAAAATACCTTTTAGTAAATATTTATTATTTTTTATTTAATAATAGTCGGAAAAAATTGAATTATAAGATATACATTTCAACCATCGTTTTAAAAGAAGGTAATTTAATGTAGCAAAATACAAAAGTTGACCGAAATTGATTGAATAGTTCCTGAGAAATCGAATTTTAATTACACTTCTTTTTGAAAATTCCATTTCTCAGGAATCCGAATTCCGTATTCAAACTACAAGAATTTAGACCAACCTGCATAACGAGTTTTTTTTGTTTTTCTTTTTAAAAACTTCTTAAACTAATTTAATTTAATTAGTTTTAGAAGTTGTTTTTAAGGAAAAAGAGAAAAATAAATCATTGGAATATTAGGGGTAAGGAGGGCTTTTTGTATCTTTATAAAAACATATTATAAGAATGCGTATGCTTCATTATTAAACAAGCTCTAACTTTTCTATAAGATGCTTATTGGTTTTTTTTTTCATTCTCTTAAAAGAAAGATAATTATTTAATAAAAAAATTACTGATTTTGTCACTTTAATGATACTTCTTTTAAGAAACTAAACGGTTGTAATGGTTGGTTATAAACTGCATATTATAATTTTAATATTATTTTGTTACCATTTTATTTTGTTCATAAGAAACAAATATAATTTATAAATAAATGACACTTTATGAACCCTTTTAAAAACGGTATAAAACGCTATATTATATAAAATGATATAAATATATAATAAATGATATATATTGTAAAAGACCAATAAAATTTAAAAAATAGTAATTATTTAATCTTTTGTAAAAAAAAGAAGAGAAAAAAAAATTTCAATCTGAAATGAAAGAAAAGATATTGGAGTAAAATTACAAAATTTTGTTCCCGAGATGGCTTTGGAAGCGTGCTCCATAATTTGAAGAAAATTTGATAAATATTAAATAAATGTAATTTAAAAATACAAAACAAACATGTCTTCATAAATAAAAAAATTCTTTTTTTTTCCAATTTGGAAGTAGAAGGATTATTGAAACTTACACTCAAAGCATTAAAATGTAATAAAAATTGTGAGTCAATAATACTTCTGTGACTAAGAGTAAAAAAATAACATTGTTAACAACTGACGATATGTTCCTTAATCTAACCATTCAAAATAAAGAAGAAAATCGAACTTTTACTAGTGGTTATACACGAAATGTTTCTACGAATGAATAGAACGAAAAACATTTCTTAGTAGCTGGCACTATTTTCTAAACAAATGTTACGTAATATACACGAAACTATTGACTTATCGCAATTATTTTTTAGAAACTTGAAAATTATGTTCCCAATACCATTCACATTAAAAATTAACTANTTGTGAGTGAATAATACTTCTGTGACTAAGAGTAAGAAAATAACATTGTTAACAACTGACGATATGTTCCTTAATCTAACCATTCAAAATAAAGAAGAAAATCGAACTTTTACTAGTGGTTATACACGAAATGTTTCTACGAATGAATAGAACGAAAAACATTTCTTGGTAGCTGGCACTATTTTCTAAACTAATGTTACGTAATATACACGAAACTATTGACTTATCGCAATTATTTTTCAGGAACTTGAAAATTATGTTCCCAATACCATTTGAAATTTTAGCGTTCGTTTTTTTCTTTCTTTTTTTATTTTTTTTTAATTAAGACTCATATCAATTTTAATAATATTGCATTAACGAGTATTTAATTATACGATATTCATTTTTTTGTTTTGTTTCCAAGGAATCAATGTGCTCATTAAATGTTTTGTCATAAAACAGTAATAATTAAACTTCAAAATATTATAAATTCTAATTTATAATATTATAAGGGGGGAGAGCAAGTGTCCCTCTCGATCTACATATACAGAGATGCCAACTTATTCTGCTTAATGGGGAAAAAAATTTATAGTGGTAGCAAAATTTATGATTTAATGTTTTATTCTTGGTTTATATAAAGTTGACATAAAATTATTTTTTCCACCTCTTACGTACATATAATTCGAAATTTCCCCAAAATTATCTAAAATTTTGCAAGTTTTGGTTTTTAACTCTCTACCACTTCAAAGAATATTTTGGAAACATCTTAGCAGTTAGCATCCCAGTATATTGACACCATTTCTAGAAAATATAACAAACGCATATAACGCTAACTAATAATTTAAGTAAAAGGCATTTATTTAAATGTTTACTTGATAAAATGATTACTTACTATCGAAAAAAAAAAATCCTGGAAATACACGCTGTTTACTTAAATAGTTGAATCAATTATAAAAGCCCAGAAACTGTAACGCTCAAAAACTGTATCTACAAAATAGATTTTAAAAATCAAAAATAGACTTTAAATATTTGACTTTATTGAATTAAATTTTGAAATAGCTATTAAAACGAGTAGAATCTTTTATATGAGCGTGAGCACCTAACAACCTACACTTACGTTTGACTTTATTTTTCAAAATAGTGGCTTGTATTCATTGTTAAATAAAATCGTTTTATTGTTTCAAATTTATTGTTGAACAAGGCAGAGCCACCTCTTATTTTTAGTATTTCACAGTTTGGGGATAGGAGATCGATTCCCACCATGAATGGCAAAAATTTCCTTTTATGGAGGATTTTACGCTAGTTTACAATCGGGGTTCTATTTGAAATCTATTCAAAATCTCGGAAAACGTTTTTCAAAGAGATTTTAACCCATGATAAAATTGAAGATTTACAAGCATTTTGCTAAATAATTAGTCTAGGCTAGACTGGGCACCCTATGGTTTTCACATTTCTCTGTCTGGTCATCTTCAAATATTTCTGCTTGAAGGTGTTCTATCAATTTTCTCCCCGGATAATTGCCCTTTCAGAATGATTACAATCTTGCAATGTGATATGAAGAGGAGGAACAAATTGTTCATCTTCCCTCTTTGCTAGTGGTTGTGGAAAAATAAATAAAATGAAGATTTATTCTAGGATTATGGATTCTCTACACTCTGGCCTTTCTTTTAAATGTTGTATGCTTTTTTTTAAAATTCAGCCCTAGCTTAAAAATATATCAAATAAAATTCTAAAGTAAAAAAAAAAATTATTTTTGAAATAATGCCCTTTTTGAAATAATGCGCGTACGGCATACGTCATACTTGACATTCCCTAGATACGCCACTGGCGTTGATTAGTGTTGCTATTACATAATTTTTTAAAAGGGGAGCATCTAGAGAGGAATTATTGATGTCAATACGTTGTATACGTTGCTAAACTTTAATTTTGAGAATAAATTTGAAATTATTTTTTAATACTTGTTAGAGTAAAATCAATGGGTAATCTATGGAACTGAAACACAGACGCTAATGAAGGAAGAAAATGTTATAAAATATTAACATTTATTAAGACATATTCATATAGATTTTTTGTAACTTTTTACTTTTAAGACAAATTCTCCCTGCATAAAACTGGAATAGAAGAAAAAGCAAACTAAACTTACATTAATATATCTGCTTTGAAACTTTAATCATCTATTTTAAGACATTTGAGTTAAAAAAAAATATGTATGGCTAAATTATTGCGTAGCAAACGTAGAGTTTTGTGAGTGAAGCGAGCAGGGTTCACTACTTAAAAATTATTTTCTACGTTTTGACGCCAACAACACCCTTTTACGAATGTTTATAGATTCTTAATATAATATTCTTGTACCAAAAATAACAATAATAGTCGGACATAAAGATACATAAAAGTAAGTACCTTAAAATGTTCTCAAATTCCAATCCTAAAATGAATTTCTACCTTCTTAAAGCTCCTTTTTCTGAAAACAAAAAACATTATCTCTTCATTGAACTACTTTTTCTATAATGTAAGTGGTCTTTACACCGTATATTATTTATTTTTATTGCGAAAAATTTAAACAAAACGCATTTTTGGTACAAAGAGCGATTCACTCAGCATACGAAAAAAATCGCACATGCGTATTCTGAGATGCGAACAAGAGTTTGATTGGAGATCTTTTTAAGGGGAAATGAATTTATCCAATCAAGTTCCCGTTCGCAATGCCAAATTCGCATGAGCGAATTTTTCACATATATTGCAAATCGCCCATAACGTCATCAACGATAATTTTGTGCCGAAGTAAAGTAACTTTTTCTCATATTGAAAAAAGAGCTAGAAGCTAAAAATTTATCATCATCAAAATATGCTCTCATCAACAAATAGGCCTTTATTTGTAAACAAGTGTTATGCTCGGAAATGATGAAAGTTTTTATCTTTTTTCTAATTGTTTTCTTATAAAATCGTTATATTAGTTTGCATGTAGTATAAATTTGGTTAAATAATTCAATCATGTTTCGACCGTCGAAACGCTGGCATTTTTCTTTACAGTTATTGCAGCGAAAACTGATGAAGAAATGTAGTTATTGCCCTGAAACAAAAAGCCCTAACATATTTGGTTTTAAAGAAAAACTTTCAAAAGGGCCTTCTCTTGCCTCTTTCATTGATAACACTAGCCTTCAACCTAGAGTGAATAGTGAATATCCCCCTTACATATCTCCAGATCCATCGTCAAATAATAAACAAAAAGGTAACTATTTCATCAGTAAAGTTGACGATTATGTAGGAAAGATTTTCGTGTCGGTATCTACGCCAAGCTTTTGCACAGTCTGGGCAAAAGCTTGCTAGAAATTGTCCAAGAGCATATTTTAAATAAAGAAAATTTATGGAATTTAAGCAAAAATTAAAACAAAACCATTATTGTGCAAAGTTAGATTCAATATTTATTTGATACTTCCAGTTAATATTTCGATTTTTTACATTATTAGAGGTTTTATGAATTTTAAATAAAAAGCATTTTTTTTTCTTCTAAAAAAATCCGAGCTAAAAGAGTTTGTGGGTGAGGAGTTATCGACCATACCAACCTTCATCTATCAAAAGGTACCTCAGAATTGAATCAAGTTAGCATGTCTTATATACTAGTGAATGACGTTAAACTTTCGTAGTAGTAGTTACGCTACAATATTCCCCCACATTAATTTTATCGGAGATACAATTCAATGAACAGATACCACTAGTTGCTGTACTTGTGAAAGACTGGGAGAGCATCACCAGTTTTTTTTTTTTTAGTGCTGAAATGTGAGAGGTGTATTAACTTCACATACGTAGTTGCTCCTGTGTCGCCATTAGCAGTTGGGTGTATGCAGGCGTTGAGAGTGTATGACGTTATGTATGTACGAGACGAGACTGTGTAGCAACAGCGCGAGGAGGTCATTTGCTGCATTCACAAGTAGCAAGTCAACTGTTCAATGTGGACTATCCTTCGAAGTAGGCGTTACCAGATCGAAGTGGGCTTTACTGCGTGTTTAAATCACGTTCGGAGGTCACCAATGTGGGGGCGTAGTTATCGACCATGCCAACCTTCATCTATCATAAGGTACCTCAGGATTGAATCAAGTTAGCATGTCTTATATACTAGTGAATGATGTTAAACTTTCGTAGTGGTAGTTATGCCACAAGTTTAAAACAAAATAAATTACGATAAAAATCCCTTACAATTACTATCAGTGAGCAGTTTAAAAACTCGTGTATTTGTTCACTTTTCTAATTTTTAAGTTGCAATGATATTGTATTTAAACTTGGATTTGGCGAGAAACGTTCTAGAAAAGGAAAAGGCCTACCCCAGCTTTTTGCTCTTAGGATGATGATTTTGGTATTAGTTTTTATATATATATATAAAGTAGTTATACATAGGTCTGTCAAAGCCAAATTTTCTACTGTTTAGCGGTACCTTCACAAATTCAACTTTAGGGTAAACAGTGGTTTCACGAAAAACCTTTTCTTAAAATCTTATTTTTGAGTCTCGTAAGAAACGATAAATTTATATTTTTACCATATTTTTGTGTTGATTTTTTAATTTTCACAAAATAGGTACCTCTCAGAAAAACCTAGACAGACCCCTGATATATATTTTCTTGTAAATTTTTTTGCTTTCTGCATGATTGGGGTTCTTATAAGAAGATTCTATTTAAAAACTTTTGATAAATTTGTATGTGTTCTTTCATTTAATTGCATTGGAAATTTTCAGAACTGTATTTTATTGCTGAATTCAATTATTATTTTTTCTAGTTTACATTGAAACATATGGATGTCAAATGAATGTAAGTGATACTGAAGTAATTTATGCTATTTTGGAGAAAGAAGGGTATGAAATTTCAAGGAACATTAATGATGTAAGCATGTTTCATTGTTATTAGCACAGTAAGATCAAAAATAAATAAACTATCTAAGCACATAATCCAAAAGTATGGATGGTGTTTTAAGTAGAAATGTAAACAATAACAATCTCGAGCTGTATGCCTGCTCTAGTTCCGGTTAGAAAGTTTGCAGCTGCTTAATACATGTTATTCTGCGAGGGGATATTTTCAAACGGATAATTTTGTTTTCAATAAAATAAATAAATTAGACAATTTCTGAGCTCAAATCTGCTGTATTTCATAAGATATTAATGTTATTATGTAATTCTGGTGAGTTTGAAGTGAAAATTTGTTTTAGTTATTTAAATATATATTGTTAAAAAAGGTGACATGGTTGCTAGATTTTGAATAACTCGGTTTTTTGGCAGTCTTGATTTGGCCTCTTTCCATTTGTTTATTACTGTTTGTTCGTGTTGCAAGCTGCATGTGCATCATCTTATGTTAGTGTTAGCATATTGCTCGAGGAGCAAGATTAATTTATACATTATAATTCTGGTTTAAATTTGAAAGTTGGCATATATTATTGACACGTTGTGAGCCAAATGACTTTGAGAAACACCGGGAGCAGTAACCCGGAAGTATAAGCGGTATACAGCTTTCAGCGCTCCCTAGTGTAGAAAACACCTTCCATATTTATATCAACAGTTATTTTCAACAATTTTAGAGCTTCTCCTGAAATTTTAGAACAAAAAGTTTAGGTTGAGGATAATTCTGTTTGGAAAATTGAAAATTTTAATTATAATTTTCATAAATAAGTAGTTGATATATTTTGGATTAATCTAATTTCATGAAACATTAGTTCTTTCCTATTGAAATATAAATGAATTAAAATTATCAACATTCTAGGCCAGGGATGGATAACCAATGGCACAAAATATTGGGACAAAATATTTTGGGCACGCCACTGACCACAATTGTTATTGCACTATGAATCGTTATTACACTATGAACCATATGTAACAATTAAATTAAAATTCACAAAAACAAACAAAATAATAAACAATTATTAATAAAAAAATAACAATTATTGCTAAAAAAACAATTAATAACCATAAAAAACAAGCTAACAATAAATAACTAGCAAAAAAATCAAGTCCTGCTTAAACAAATATCTTACAACCTATTATAAGTTATTTGTCATTTAATCTGCAATAACAGAAGTCCCACTGATGTTACTTTAAGTTTAATTATGCGTATAACTTCCTTTCAATGTAAATAAAGAGTTTTGAGTTGATAGTATTTAGTATTATTATTTTCCCAATAATCATGAAGTCAAAATTATTTAACGGCACATCTGTGATTTCAGTAAAAAAATTTTTAGAAAAAATGGCACGCTGGTGTATAAAGGTTCGCCACCCCTGTTCTAGGCCATATTATTTTAAGAAATAAAAGATACATTTCATAAATATTAACTGAGATTTTAATTCTGCTACACAGAGTTGGACAGTTTTTGAACAATAAAATATAATTAATAGCTTCAGGAAAATGATACAAAAAAAAATTTAAAATCATTACCTATTTTTTTAATTATTGTTGTTTATAGAATTTAAACGTTACTGATATGTTTTGAATTAGATGTAGGAGACAAAACTTCATATTATTATTATTTCTTTTTTTGCTTTTTATCCATAGAATTAGTTTTGTTAATTTTTTTAAAATAAATCGCATAAATTGCGATATTTGATTTTAAAGTCGTATGAATATAAATTGGGATCGCAGATTTTAGAAACATGTGAATAAGAATCACAACATTACATTTTTAATTCAGGCATGAATGTAAATCTTCTTAATTAATTTTTAGATTTACATGAATTTTGAAGCTTAATATGTAATTTTTAAATCCTAAGAATACAATTACAATGCATAACTTTTAAATCACGTAAATATGAAAATTGATGTTTTATATTGAAACCACATAAAAAAGAATTGCAGCATTGGGTTTTAAAAAAACACATTCATACAAATCGCAATGTGTGATTTTTCAATAGTGTAAATACAAATCACAGCGTCTGATTTTTAAAATAAGGAGAATTTGAATGGTAATGTGTGATTTTCAAATCAAGGGAATACAAATTGAGATATTTGATATTTTAAATCATGTGAAAATGAATTGCTAAGTGTTGTTTTGAAATCATATGAATACAGACTGCTATACGTTATTTGCATATGAAATGTGGTCCATGTTGAGACTCTGAAACTGTAATCATAATTTTAATCCAAATATTAAATTGCATTGTGCTATTGGCACATGAAATATGGTGAGTGTGGGGACTCGAAGATCGCAATCATAACTTACAACCAGAGATTAAATTGCAATTTGTTAATCAGATCAATATGAATCAAGAAACATGTGAATTAAGTAGTCTTAAATAACATGAATATTAATCGTAAATCGACATCGTGACAGCTCACGATTTAGACTAAGGTGTCATGTAGGTTGTTAGTTGCAAATCATCATGTGCTATTTATTGACCACTTTAATGTAATTCTGTGTCAGTTTATGATTTGATATGTTTTTACTTATCTAGGACATTAAGAATTTCTTGTTATCGTTGATAAAAAAAATCAGAACTTTCTTGAGAGAAAGCTGAAATTATACTTTTTCTTAAAAATACTGGAATTTCGGTATTTCACAGAAACATAATCTCCCCTGTAAATTTAAAAAAGTATCCATGGAATGTAAAAATTTCTGTGGGTTCCTGTGTTTAATACTAAATTTTCCCATGTTAAATGAAGTAAAAAGCAGTTATTTTAAAGTTTAAATGAAAATGCTATTTTTTATTTATTCGATAATGAAGCCTATTGACTAACGGGTACCCTTGAGCAACTTCCCATAAAGACCCTGCATAAATCTGCCCCTGGTAATAAAATATAGCTAAAAAAACAGAGAATTCATGTTTAGAACTTTCGTATTTTTCATTTAAAGTGGCACTTTCGTAGGTAAAATTAAAATCAAATTAATTTTAAATATTCAAAGTGAAATGAAAGCTGAAATGAAAAAATTACTACTATTTACTAATTCTGACCAAGCTATGATTATATTTAATATTAAGCATGCCATTCGATGCAGATTTTGATTCATTACGCCCTTTAAATGTTAAAAGGCAAGAACTGAAAAATTGTCAAAAATTTCTTGGTTTATTAAATGGTTAGAAATTGTCTTCTTGGTTAGAAATTGTCACAAACTCATATTAATTTCACAATATTCAAAATTTTCTTCTTCAGCATTTCTTTGGTCTACTTTTTCTTGACTTCTATAAGCAAGAGATTTCTCTGAAGTAATAAATAAACATTTTAGGGTTTTAAAAATATTTTAAGTTATTCAGCAGTATTAAGATCTTTCCAAAGCATTTTAATAATAGATTTGTTGGAAATAATAGGGTTTTATCATGCTTTAAAAAATGTCACGTAGTCATAAAAAATTTCCCTACTGCTTTTTGTTAGAAAATATGAAAATTTCTTGATTAAAATGTTTTTTTTCAGTCAAAAATATGTTTTTAAGAATACACAAATTTTGGAGCAAATTAAAGTCATGTTTTTCCCCTTCCTTTGTTTTTATTTTTAAAAAAAATGGCTTTGACAAATTCTCATCTGTTAACTAATTCATCCTTCCCTCTAATTAATGTATTTTTGTTCTATCTGGGTGCATGTAAATTAATAAAAAAAGTAATGTACTTTAATTATGTAAGATTTTACTACAAAATACATACTTTAATATCACTATGCTTGTTTTGTTAACTGTGTTTTAAATATAATCGTTGATTTATTAATTTTTCAGACGAATACCATATTAGTCATGACTTGTTCCATTCGGGAAGGAGCTGAACAAAAAATATGGAATAGATTAAAATACTTTAGGCAGCTAAAGCACAATCATGACAAGAATTCTCAGCATCCAATGAAAATTGGTGTTTTAGGTAATATACTTATATAATTAAGTCATATTTAACCAGGATTCGCCAGTCTGAAAAAACCTACGCTCGTTTTTCGAATGGGTCCATTTAAAAAAAAACTACTTTTTTTAATGAAAAGTGTTTTTTTTCTTCCAAGTTTATTGAAGTAGATCTATAATTTTGCTATTTAAAAAATTATTAAATGTTTAAAATTTTTTGTTTTTAATAAATTCACTAGCAAAACATTTTTGTTCATCAAGTTTCGTGGAAAATTAGATATTCTGATCTCAATAGCATTATGAGTTGGTGTTGAGCTCCATTTTAGTTGAGACTTTGATATTAGTACCATAATAATTGAGTATTGGAAGAATTGATGGTTTGTTTGGATGTTTAAGTTTTAACTTGTCAAATTTCTTGTTAAGAAGTAGAATTATTTCTTTTTATGTTCTTTTTTTTATGAATTTATTTGCAATCCTGTTTCTTTATCCTTATGCTCTAGTTTTCATGTAAAAGCAAAATGCATCTAAAAAGTTACGTTAGTGGATGACTCAATTTTTCAAAGGCAACATGATTTAAAAATGCTGTCAAGTGCATGCACTAGGAGAGATGTCATATAGCAAAAAGAACTCAAGAAACTGTTGCATATTAGTCTGCTTTGAGGAATTGTGTAAAAATTTTGCAGAAACTGTAGTAAAATAGAGAAATGAAAAAAGATTATATTTTGCTAAAAAAAACTGTGTAAAATGACCTCATACATAAGCAATGTTGGTCCAGATGTTTGAAATGGATGTTGAAAGGATAAATTCACTTACGACTACTGGTTTAAATGTTATTGCAAAGGGAAAAAAACTCAAAAATGATGAATCATGCCTGAGTCTATTCTTAACAAGTTTATTTACCTACAGCATCAAGTCGTATGTTGTTGTAGACATCTTTGTTCATAAAAATTTGGATAAATACAAAGCTTGTTCCTCTAATTTTGTGCTCCACATATCGAAAAAGTATAATATGTATCTAGGCCTTGATTGATTCCAAAAGAATGTTCACTGATTGAATTCAGCAGTTTTATCAATAATTTCAAAAGTGTCTCACGAATGAAGTTATTTCGTTTCTTGCTTTATTTGGTACTTCTGCTCACCTAACTATTTAAATAACCTTTTAATTTGTATTTCATAATTTGGTGCCTTCCTCTCTAGAAGGAAAAAGTCTATACACTAAAAACTCAGAGTTATAAACTTGTAACAATTAATTATATATTATTTGGATTTTGGATAAATAGATTGAAATATTAAACATGATTTCTTGAAAGAAACAAGGTTATTTGTTAATTTTATATGTGTTATGATTTTCCTCTCAGATTGCATATTGTACTGAAAGTATTAAACAAAATTAATTTACATCCATTTAATTATTAATTCTAGGTTGTATGGCTGAAAGATTAAAACGCCAATTATTAGAGAAAGAAAAAATTGTAGATATAATAGCTGGCCCTGATAGCTATAAGGATTTACCAAATTTATTATCTCAAGCTGACGAAGGTCAAAAAGCTGGTAATATTTTTTAAATTATAAATTTTACTTTTAAGTTGTGGCTATTATTTCTGCATAATTGGAGTTTAAATTAAATTACTATATATTCACATCTTTTTTGTGTTTGCAATTAATTATCAATCATTGTTGCTTGTGCATTTACTTTTTTATTTATTTTAAAAATCATTTGGTTAATATTTTAAAATTCTGTTGTGGAATATATTCATAGTTCTTTGAAAGTAATTATCTAGATTTCTGCTTATAAAGTAATATTACTATTTTATGAGCAGGAAACCAATTTATTTACTTTTCTAAGGCTAATTAATTCGCCAATGACAATAACCATTTTTCTTTATAGTTAATATAATGCTCTCAGTTGATGAAACATATGCTGATATCATGCCTGTGAGGATAAACCCAAATTCTAAGTCTGCATTTGTGTATGTTATGCTTTATTCTAAATTTAATAATATTTTATTTTCATTTGTAACTACTTAGTTTTCATTATGGTTTTTTCCTCAATGTTTTTAAATTTACAAGTTACATACTGAATTATAAACAAAACTGTAATTTTATCAAATATTTTTCTCTTTTTGTAATACATTAAATCAGCCTTACTTAGCATTAAAAAAGATAAAAGAGTTACTATTTTGCATTTGCAATGGATACTATACCAAGTTAAAAGTCATTATTTAATTATTTTGAACTATGCTAAAACTCTAGGAGAGGAATTTAAAAAGCTGCAGTTATAGTTGCATTGTTTATTAAAGAATATAAATTCATATTTAGTGTTTGCAATATCAATTTACTATCTTTTTTAAAATTTTGACATAAAATAAACTTAGTATCCTGTTGATATTAATCTAAATCTTGTTTTTCCTGAATGTTAATGTTTTGCTCGTGACCAGTACAACAAATAGACTAAAATAACAGGATTTTGCACATTAAGTGCAGTATGAGAAAGTTTAAAAATAGTCGAAGTTCATTTATATTAGTTACCTGGCAGTGTTAATATTCTTTTATAGTATAACTGTATAATTATTCATTATCACATATTAGTCAAATTTCTTGCTTATAGTATCTGAATTATAATATATGATTGAAGAATCATTACATAGTTGTTATTGATTATTTACAATGTTCTATTTAGGTCTATTATGAGAGGTTGTGATAATTTGTGTTCATATTGCATTGTTCCCTTTACTCGTGGAAGAGAACGGAGTAGACCTATTAGTTCAATTGTAGATGAGGTGAAACATCTCTCTGATCAGGTGAGATTTTAAATAATTATCATCTAATGCAAGAAGTTCCGAAATGTGTGCTGTGCTCCCTGTAATAATGAAAAGGATTACCATGAAGTGCCTTCACTTCAAGTTCAATATCCTTCAATAATAATAATCTCTTGCTACTAAAAAAGGAAAAAAATATAATGCAATTTTGACTGTAATGTAAAATATAAATATCCTGTCTTAAGAGAAAAAGCTTTAAGAATTTTTATTCATTTTGAAACTTCATATCTTTGCAAAGTTAGGTTTTCAGCAGTTGCTGCTCTAGGGAGATACTATCGCTTAAAAAAATATCAAAGAAGAAATGCTTTTTGCTGTATCTGTAATGCTTTTTGCTTTATTCTGTGTTTTGTAAAACAAATCAATAGCCAGCTCATCTATCACACTAAGAAATCACAATATATCCAAAAGTAGATGATAATATCTCTTTTATTTTTTTTCTTGTAATATAATTATCTTTTATATTATATATTACAATGAATTCCTTATTAAATACAATTAAATACTTGAGTGAATATTAAAAATAAACTGTATTGACAGTGTCTATATTCTTGATACTTACTTCGACAGTCTCTATCTTATAGTTTTAAACATATGAAACATGCATTGTATGTATAATATAAATATACTGCAGACAAATATTGCAGGGCTGCCTTGCTGTGAGATAGTTTTAAATTTCATAAGGGTGTTGCTACTTGGAAAAATTTTTAACCCTTGTTTTGATATCATGTACTTTCTTTATCATTCATATCATTTCATTAATTTTGATGAAAAGTCTTTACTTAACTTTCTTAGATGAAAGTTATATTACTATTGATGAAATATTAAACACATTTGTTTTTGATAGTGTGTGTGTATATTAATAAGCCAAATGAATATTTAATTTTGTTGTGAGGGTTAAAGCAATGGTGTAAGGAAATTTTTTTTTTTAATTCAGAACTATTTTTATATTCTTATGCAACTAATTTACATGTTATGACAATCATGCAGCTAATTTTAGTGTTTTTTACTATCGACATTTACGTTTAAAGAAATTATCTTTAGAAATTGGAGTATCTTCAACAATGTTAAATTTAATATTAATTATATACAGTCAAACCCCGTTATAGTGAACACGGTTTATAGTGAACTCCCGGATATAGTGAACAAAATGTTCGGTCCCGTGCCTTGCTGTACCCGTATAGTGTTATTTTTTGTGGGTATAGTGAACCAAAAAAGTGATGAAGTTGGATATAATGAACTTTTTTCTGTCTTCGACTGATTTTTTTCTTCATTTTTTTGTAATAATTTTAAAGTTCTACTTCAAAATAAATACAGATACTAATTTTTATAACCATCTATAGTGGAGAAGGTAGCGATAGGCATTTTTTTCTTGTTTGCTTCTTTTATCTTACTTTCCCATCCCTTAACAAATCAAGTAGATGCTTCCAACCCAGGCAGATGATGCACCTGTAAGGTGTCAGTGGGATCAATATGCATTTTCTGTCAGAGGGAATGAGTAATTATTCATTATTGGTCAAAGGGTTGGACACTGATATGTGTTGATAAGGCCCTCGTTTCAACTCCTTTTTGCTCTCAGTGCAGTTAAAAAAAGCCTGCAAGCAAGTGTCTCAAATTTAACTATAGCGAGCAGTAAACGTAAAATGTTCTCCATTGATGATAAAATGGGCATAATCAGAAAAATTGAAAATGGATGTAATCAAGCTGATATTTGCAGGGAATATAAACTATCCAAATCTACAGTTCTTTACATATGGAAAAATAGGCACTTAACAATTTCTGCTCATGAAAAAAATTTAAATGGCAGAAAAAAGTTGAGAAAAGCAGATCACAAGGATGTTGAAGAAGCATTACTGAAGTGGTTCAGCATTCAAAGAAGCTGCAATCTTCCAGTATCTGGACAAATGTCTATGAATTTGCTAAGCGATTTTATGAGATTACTTTTATGTGCTCGACAGGTTTAAAAAGTAGACTAACAGAAATTCAGGAAAAATTATTTGAGAGTAGGGAAATGTTTCCATATCTGATGTTGAGCACTGCTCAACAGCTAAAGATTACTATTTTTTTTTGTACGCAGGACGAAGAGTAATAAAAAATAACAAATTTTTCGCTACTACATAATATTTTTCAGTCATTTATTTGAATAACGTGTAATAAAAGGGAAGAATTTGGGAACCATTAGTTAAATTGTCCGCATAACGGATATAGTGAACTCCCGGTTATAGTGAACCAAAATTTAGGTCCCTTGAAGGTTCACTATAGCGGGGTTTGACTGTATATGTAATTTAATTCAATTCTATACATAAAAATATGCTATAAAATATTTTTCATTAAATTTTGTTAAGTAAAGTTCTGCCCCCATAAACTTTTACTTCACATGATTTTAAACAGTTTTTCATTAATTTATCTTGAATTTGAAATTTGTTCTCTGTCATGATACTGATTCTTATTGTAATTTTATGTTTGAATCGAGATTTTTTATGCATTTTGATTCTATTTTAGTAATACTTCTTGAATTCTCTAGATTATTTCTCTTTTATAACTCTGTGGTTATTTTAATTAAAGTGTTGTCAAGCAAAATTTGGTCCTACATGAATTTAAAAACTGTTTCTTCACTAATTTGTTTCAATAATTGTTGTGTGCTAATTTGTTTTCACATGCATCTAGTTGTTCATTATGTTGAATTTGTAAAAATATTTGTAATTTGGTTTTTGTGCTCATGCATCAACCTACTCATCATATTTTGCTAACTTTTTCTTAATTTTTAGGGTGTTAAGGAGGTCACATTGTTAGGGCAAAATGTAAATAGCTACAGAGACTTGTCAGTATCAGTGAACACTAAAACCGTTCTCAGTTCTGGTTTTAAAACTGAATATAAAAAAAGGAAAGGAGGTTTAAGGTTTGCAGATCTACTTGATAAAGTGTCTGATGTTAATCCTGAAATGAGGATAAGATTCACTTCCCCTCATCCTAAAGACTTTCCCGATGAGGTAACATAACATTTAACTGTCATAAATTTTTTCGTGATTTTATACAAGGTTTCAGCTATTAATAGTATAAGACTGATCTAAATATATTATGATAATTCCATACCCATTCAACATGTTTTGATTTTGAAGTAACCGTCATATATTCTAATTTACTTCAAAACTTTGAAGTAAAAATTTCAGGAACAGCTTTTAAAAGTTCTTGTTTGAAGGCTTTTTAAATCTATAGTTGGGGTCTTCTTAGTCACTTCAACATCCTGAACTAATCACACACAGAGAGAGAGGGCTTAGAATCATGTAATCTAGTGTAAAAGCATCAGGTATTCTCACTATTTGGAAGCTTGACTGAAGGCACTTCTTTAGAAGAGGGAATACTCATTTCATAATTCATTTTCTATAAGAGGGTGCAATGCTGAGAGGGTTCCCTTTGCAAATCTCTTTCTTTTCGGACTGTGGAGATAAATTATTCACCATACTCTTCAGGCTATAATCTTGCATACTTTGTTTCTGAAACTAACAATTTGCTAAGGGAACTAGGTTTAAGAGTGTCAAAAACATTAAGAGTATTGGCAAGAAGAATTCACATAATACTTTCAGTAGTTAGAGCAATTTTGGAAATTGATTTCCTCACCTGGTACAGATGTTTATTGAAGATGCTATTTAATGTTTTTATTAAAACCACTAACTATGAACTAATCATTTTATTTTTTCATTGTGGTTTTAAAAAACTCATTGAAATACAATTGTATAGTACTTTTTTACTACTAATATTAATTTTGTGAAGAAAAAAATATGAATTCTTTGTATTTTCTCACAAAGTCTTATCACTTTTGTTAAAAAAAAATTTCATTCATGCAACAAACTTAAATATTTTGATATCTAATTTTGTTTTTATTTCAAAAATGCTTTTTAAACATGCAACCAAAAAAACACTCTTAAGATTTTTGAAACAAACTGGGTGAATTCAGAAACAGTTGCATTCTTAGACAAAAATAAATATTCTTATAGCTACACAACTTGACTGAATGTTTTCATACTTGAAAAAGATAATATTCCTTTCATTTTTTTTCATCCATAAAATCAATAAATTTTGTCAGATTATATATATAAAGTGTTGAGATTCTTATTTCTTTTTGTGTTAAAGAATATGATTTTCCTTTTTGAAAATATTGTATAATTGTAAGTAATTGCTCACTTTATTTATTGTTATGCTTCAAAATGGATTTGAGAAAACTGCTTTATATCTTTTTCTGGTTTTTTCAAATAAGCTTAGCATAATATGCTTTTTAATAGAAGTATGAATTCTGAAACCTTTCATATGTGAATAAGATTGATATGATTAACTATGTTCAGCTGTTAAAATGAAATGATGAATTTTGAAATGGTTATTTATATTGAATTTCCTGTTAATCCTGTTTTTAAATTGATTGATTCAAATAAATTAGTAAAAGTTTATTTTTCTGAAATAAATGCTACTTTATGTTTAATTTTTTTTCTGAAATAGTGTTTCTAAATTTTAGGTGCTTCATCTAATAAATGAAAAACCAAATATCTGTAAATTAATCCATTTGCCAGCACAAAGTGGTAATAATTCTGTATTAGAAAATATGAAAAGAGGTTATACGAGAGAAGCCTATTTGGAATTGGTTGATCATATTAAAAATATTATTCCTGGTAATATTATTTCATATACATTCATTATTATAACAAATAATAAAATTTAACATTGTTTGTTGTGAATTCTTTCGAAGCATACTTTTGATGTAAAACTTTTAATATTGTTGCTCTATTTTAAAGGTTTAAATAAAAATAGATATCAAAATGAAAATCATTAATTTTTAATATAACATTATGAAAGAAAGAAAATATCTTTTATGAGTGATTTTCTTACATAGTGCAAAATATAAAATGCATTTTGGATTTAAAAAATGTTTTGAGTCACTTTTAAAGTTAAATCTTCAAAATAAAAGTTGTCATTCTGTTAATGCTTAAAAATACATATTAAATATTAGTTTTTCGTTTTAGTCACATAAAATTAAATTTATACAGTGAGCCAATTTCAATCTAAAACAGAATCCAATAGTTTTGCAAAATTAAATTTCAATATAATTAAAAAAAATTTAAAGAATTTTTTAGCTCTATTTATACTTTAGTTATACCAATTTGAATTTCCATGATTTATAAACAATTTTGTATCAAATACACAGAATTTCTTTCTTTCTTTCCTGTTTTTTAGTATCTATTCAAATTTATATAATTTTATTAAAGTATGCTATTTTTTTAAATAGAAAATGCCAATTTTTATTTTGTTTCTTTTTTAATTTAACAGAAAATCTAAAATAAGTTTAGGCAAGGATTTTCCCATCAATTTATGTCTTTATTAAATAGTATATTTAAAATTGTCAAGTTAGTTAACTTTTAATTCAAATTTTTAATATGAATTAACTATACAAAAAGAGTATAGTATGAATTAAATGGATTATTAATTAAAGTTTATTGAAAAATTGATTGTTGTAAGAATTTAATTGAAATATAATCTAAGCTAAAACTAAATTCATCCTCAATTTATCATTGTAATACTTATTTGTTAGTCTTACACTATTTTTAATATGAAATATTTTTTCTGTGATGTTTAGATGTTGCTTTAACATCAGATTTTATCTGTGGATTTTGCGATGAATCTGAAGATGCTCATAAGGATACAATATCACTGATGAAACAAGTGAAATATGAATTTGCCTATATTTTTGCTTACAGTATGCGGGAGGTAGGTAAAAATGTAAAATTCATCCTAACTCTAAATTAGGAGCGTTTTTCACGAATTACTCAATCATTCTAGTTGTTCAATATTCATATTTTCAGAATTTTGTTTCAAATATACTTTAAAATTTACATAAATATCAACATACTTGTCTTACAGAATCTTATTGATTTTCTCTTAAGATTCATTTTTGTTGTCAAAGTGGGATAGTGTCAACGTGGATAGTAATTTCGTTATGCCATTTTAGAATTATTAAGGCTGGAAAAAAAACTGGATTTTTATTACAATTCAGTGAGTGATCAATTATGAACTATTCCAAAACTTTCAAATTCATCTTCCAAAAGAAACATTCGCTGCTTTGAATTTCTCCAAATGCTGCTTTGCAAAATATTTTAAAACACCATGTAAAAAAACAAAAAACTTATTGACAAATAAATATACAAATACCTTTTACTACATACTTTTCTCTTGCAAAATAATGAGAATTTATTAATTATGAGCTGTTTGGCAATATTACAACTGTTTATCATTTTCCACAGTAATCCTACTAATTACTTTTAATTTGCAATGCCTTTTAAATACAAAATACATTGTGAAACAAAACTTATGGATAAATGAACCATTCTGAAAAAGGGTAATGTAAAAATGTTTTGTATTTCTTTGGCATCATTTAAAGTATTTTTGCACAGTTAAAAGTGCACCCTTTGCTAAGGATTTATCTTGTCTCAATAATTTTTAACTATTCTTTTTTGTGCCAAACTATAGTTATAACATTGTTTGATTATTCATCTAGATAAATGAAATCATTTATATTTAGTGCTGTTTCAGACTTTTGTGCATTAAATTCTATGACTTCATGTGAAAAAGAGATGCATTTCATTATTTAAAATACTTTAAGATGGATAACAGTGGGGAAAAAAAATTTTTTTTTTGTTTTCTGTTACATGAAATTTTATTTTATGGATCTTATATATTGTACATTCAGACAAAAATAAATGAACAAAAAATATGTTATTTTTCAAAAAAAATATGTAGCTTTCAGCAAAATACTAATTGCAGATATAAATTCCACACACTCAAATTAGGTAAGATCAAGTACTTAGATAATTGTAGCAAAAAATTAGTTTCCTAGTGAAATTGTTGTAACTTTTTATGCATTTCTGAATTGTACTGGGCTAAAACGGTGCCTAGATCTGACATAGGATTGAAAAAAAAGAAAAAACGTATAAATGCTTTAATCAGAATGTTTATTTTGAAAATAAAGTTATCTTTATAAGTAGGGCTCAATCTTACATATGTTTCTATCAATAATTAAAATATGTGATGACTAATAAGTTTTATCAACACTTGTAAGTTAAATCTTAACAATGAAATAATGAATTGGAGCCCACAGTTGAAATTGATGAAGCTTCTAAACTATTTCCGCCTTCTTTCTCAGTGAAGCTTTGTAGCAACATTTAAAAAAGGGAATAAGTCTAATCACATTGAAACAAAACAGACCCAGAAAATCTTGTCCCAGAAAAATTTGTTCCTATGAAAATGATTTTAAGACCAAATTGTAATTATATTCATATTAATTATTGATAGAAAATTACTCCGATAACCTCATTATTTCCTTGAATTCATATCATAATCAACAAAAATTAAAAAAAAAAAAATTTACATTCTTTTCATATAATAATTATATTGTTATCATGGTTATTTTTTCCGTATTTCATTTGAAATTTTCCTCTGCAAAATTAATTTGAATGAATGATTATGATTTCATGGACAAGTTCTGACTTGTTTATGAATCCATAATCATTAGTTGTACAACTGTTCAATTGTATTTGCATATAATTCTATCATGTAAACATGAACCCTTAATTTGTTTATATTTTCTTTATCTACATGTTGAAGCAAACTTTTTGTACGATTCTATTTTTATTAATTTTTCAGAAAACTATTGCTCATAAGACCTTGATTGATAATGTACCTGAGGATGTGAAAAAACAAAGAGCTGATGAGGCTTACACTGTTTTTAGAGAATGTGCTTTGGAACTTCATTCTAAAGAAATTGGCAATCAACACTTAGTTCAAGTCATAGGTGTAAGTTTTTTTTCCATTTTTTTTTCAATCTACTGCATGCTGTTTAAATAACAGTAATAAACTGTTTTATAGTATAGGAAACATAAATGCAAAAGAGGTAAAAAAAAATATTTTTTATATAATATTTTTAAACATGGAGTAAGTTCTACGAAACTGTGTATATTATAAAACTGTTGAATTTTTTAAAAATCAAAAGAAAAAAATGAGTTTAACAATATTTTTGTATTACATATTGTATTATTTTATTATTATGTTATGAAGTATTTATCCTAATATTTATTGTAGATAATTACTTTATACTAACACTTTATTCACTTTGCTTTTACCAGCCTTTGCTTTTCAAACTTATTTACTTGAGCTTTTTACATTATTTTGTTATGAGATAGTTGATATTGTTTTGGTTTGATAATTCATTTATGACACCCCACTCACGCAACAGACCGTGATGACCAATTGGGTCATAAAGATTATAACTCCAAAAGGTGCAAGACCTTCAGCGTGATGATGTTGCCTCAGATGAATTGAAAGACATTTTGTCTAAGAAGTTTAAGTGTCCAGTGCATAATGAACCAGACATCTTTACTTCTCAGACATATTGTTCTTTCAATCAGACTTTTCATATTGATGGGACATGCTAGTTCCCGGCTGTCTGAAACTAGGCCGTCGGGCTGAACTGATATGCCAGATTCTCTAAAAGAATTTTAAAAAAGCTATGAGTCAGCATTGACATCATTTTTATGCTTTTAATTAAGTTTCTCTAACTGAAAAAATACTATAAAGCAATAAAAAAAATTATAAAATGGAATTTTTATCTTATTTTTGAGGGTTGCAAAAAGAAAAGTGTTCATGCATCAAAAATATAGAAGCAATTGTAGTATCACTATTTAGGGTTATAAAAGAAATGGTGGGTAAAAGAAATGTAGAACAGAACTAAATAAATATTTTAACTAATTCACATGAGAGCATTTAGAGAATGTTAAGTCTTGCTAAGGTAGATGTATCTAGAACAGAACTGTAGGAACAAGTTGTATGTTTTTTTGTGATAGATGGTGATTGCACAATTTCTTTTTTCAGACAAAGCGCTGCACAGATTGTTGCTCTTCAATTACCATTATTTTATATCTTTAACAGAAGCAATGAAAATTTTTTATATTATTTGTTTGCCATAAATCAATAATAAATTTCCATATAATAGTCACTAAAAATTGTACTAATGCATATTTTTCAGTATTATATGCATTTGCATTAAATGCTCTTATGCAAACTCTTAATAAGTTAAATGGAATCTACAGTAAGCTTCTCTTATATTTTTAAACTTAAAGAGTATACTAACACTAAAGAGGCTGTTACTAAAATTCTGATTCTAATTGCAGTGCATTCTTTTCATTAAGGCAATCTTTATACGTAATGTATCTTTGTCAAATAAGTAAATCCTTTTAACATTTGCCTGAATTTTCCCTCCCTAGCCCAGCAAACGATCTGAATTAGATTGGTCAGGTAGAAATGATTGGAACACAAAAGTAATTTATCCACAGATTCCTATTCCTGTAGAAAGTTGTTCTGATGTTCAAAGATTACCAACTCCTGGTGATTATATCGTTGTTGAGGTATTATTTGTTTTGATTTATCAATTTTTTTATACATAAAATTTACTATTAATCACATTGTTACATAGGATTCTGATTGTATGTTTTCATCTTAAAACCTGGGGTATGAATTTAAACAGTATTAAACATTCACGTTGTGTATTTTATAACCGGCATTAGGATAGCCTGCCAAATTATGATTTTATGACTATAAATGTTCAACTCCGTAGCCTTGAAGACAAGGAACCTAGCCTTGAAGACAAGGAACCTTGAAGACAAGGAACCCAACCTAGAAGACAAGGAAACTCCTTGATCAAGCATTAGGACAAGCTAACTTTTGTGTAGGTTTTTTTGATGATACTAACCCCCATTCGCGATATATGAAGAGGAAAACCATAAAAACCCTGCACGGTTAGATTGACGGCAAGAGGATTCTAACCCATGTTCTATTCTAAACTCAGTGGCACGACAGCCCATAGATGGCCAAAGCGTGCACATCTCAGTTTTCTTGACCTTGGGCTCTGGAGTGCAGGAGCAGATGTTCCGGTTAGGTGGTCAGCCGAATGCGAAACCCCCAGTGTTTAGCTTCCAAGCATGCTTGGTTCTCATTTATCGACCCACTGAAAGGATGAAAGGCTGAGTCAATCTTGCTCGTCCCAAGGATCGAACCCAGGACCTGTGGCTCGAAGCATTACCACTCAGCCACCAGGCGTCACGTTCTATTCTACTAGTAATATTTTAAATCAGCACTGTGGTTGGTGCCAGCTGGGTGCAGAATTTGTACCAACCAGCGGTCGCTGGTATTCAAACCTGGTTCACCTCATTGTGAGGCGAATGCTCTATCCCCTGAGCCACCACAGCTACGTGTAGTGCTGCAGTGGCTCGTACAAAATTAATAATTGTATTAAAGTGATGCCAATTTATAATTCAACTAAACTTTTTCTCATAATTTATGTATAGTTAAGCCCTTTTATAACTATTTTTTCATAAAACATAGTTAAGAATTTTAGTTGGCACTAAAATTCATCAAAATCCGAAATAAAATGAACTATGATGTGAAATCTGAATCACACATAAACTTGACATGAAATAAAAATGCAAGTAAGAGGCGTGCTTTGGTTTTTAGCGACCCTGGTTGAAACATTAAGGCATTTTATCATGGTTGATAAAACTTATTCTGTTTAAAAATATGTATTAAGCATTTAAATTCTTGTGTTTAACGATCAAAACTCTGGTTGATCCTAAAATATATCCAAGATTTAAATATAAAGAAAATAAATTTTATTACTTACAATTATGGACAGATTAATTATAATGCAATTGTCTATTACCATAGAAAAATCCAAAGATGAAAGGCGGGCATTAGTCATCGTTTATCTCAAATATGTTTTACATGATATCTGCTAGATTTTAGATTTTCAAATTCATGACTTTCCATAACTAATTCCAAGAATTTTTCATGACTTAACGAAGTTACTATTTTCACCGACAAAAACAACAAAAAATTTTAAAAAAAGCACTATACAAACATTCATTGAAATGATAGGTGTAACCAAAACTGTTATACTCTGCATCTTCATATTTATAGATTTTAAATTTAAAAAACAGAGTAAAGAAAGAGTTGAAGCAATAAAATAGCTAAAGAAATACAAAAGCAAATACTTTTTTTCTTTCTTTTTTTTCTGAAGAATTACATTCTAAAGATTTCTTGTTCATCAGAAAGGGAAGAAATACTCCTGATTTTTCTGTTCTCATTTCAAAATAAAAAAATTCGGCAATGACTGGCTTGCTTCAGCTAAAATTTTAAATTGATAAAAAAAAAATTCTGAAGTGTAAAAGATAATTTGCTCTAGAAATGTTTTTGCTTTCATTTTTTGAAAAAACACAATAATTTTTAAAGAACATGATAAAATTATTTTATATTTTAGTCAAATATGATTGTGAATGGGGATTTTGTTACAAATTCAGATATTTGGAACACAATGAAATTGGGGGGAGGGGGTAAATTACATTTCAAAAATTAGGTTTTTCGGCTACCTAAACATGACTTTTCATGATTTTTTTTAAAAAAAAAATAGTTAAAATCATGACAAATTTTGTTCAATACCGAAATTTATGACTTTCCAGGTGCGCGGATACCCTGGTTTCATCAGTTTTGAAAATGAACGTTCTGCAGCAGCAATGGTTACAGGAACAGTACAAAGAATTCTTAAAATAATCACAATAATTGGTTGTCTTTCTACAAATGCTTTAAAATTTTGAATGATGAGGTTATTGTTTCTGGGATAGAACAAATAAAAACTGTCATTTCTGTAAGTAAATCTTGTCCATTTATATCAAGCAAAGTCGCTACATTATGGCAATAAGTTAATAAGTCAGAGTCAGTTGTTTTCTGTTCAGCAATATTAAAATGGAATCCAAAAATTTTATCAAACCATTCCAAGCGATTTAGAAGTGATCTTTACTGGTTATAGAAAAAATAAGTAGTACTGATTTTAATTCAAAGTGAAATTATTTTGCACATTGCAAGCATGATAATTTGCTGTACATTAACCTTTTGTACTGGGACAGAGGTAGAACTAGGACTTAAAGGTAGAAAAAAATGGCAATATCTGGGTTTTTGGTGACCCTGAACTTTAGTGGCCCTGGGCAGCTGCCCAGTTAGCCCACCCCGAAAAACGACCCTGGTGCATGTTTTGTAACAATTAACTTTTATAGCATTATGAAAAGAGTATGCCCAGTTATATAATTCAGTGCAAAAGGACCGCCAGAGGTCTCCCTGTCCATAAAATAGACAGAAAGTGTTACAAAGGGACCTGAACCACTTTCACTTCATTTTCTAAAAGAGGATGCAACACTGAATTGGTTAAGGTTCTTACAATAATATATATGCAATATTTTGCAATAATTTATTTTTTAATATTGATTTGTCTTTTAAAGAATGCAGATCTCAATCTTAGTGATTTATATTAAATGTCTTGAAGTTGGAGCTATGAAAAGGCAGATTACCGTAAAAAAAAAGTTTGCTTCTGCTTCAAATACATCTTGTAATGTGTGGAATATGTGTTCTTTAATGAAGCATATTAATTGCTAGTTTTCACAATGTAGAAATTCGTTTGTAATCTAGAGCTAAGAACTATTTTTAGCGAAGGATTTGTATTTAGTATTTTTTGTGCTTCACAATTGTTACAACATCAAATTCAAATTTGTTTTACTCTGGATACAGTAAATGTGAATTTTTATTTTAATTGATTAAATAAATGTATAATTTAATGGCACAATGTTGTACCAAACAATAGGTTTTGAAGCAGATCGGAAGATGCTGTACTTAATATGTTTTAGAAGTATCAATTATTTATTCTAGTACTTGATGAAAATAGGCAAAGTGGTACATTGGCGAATAAATGCTATAATTTATCTAAGATAAAATTATAAATACAATAAAACAATTACGTACATCAATTGATATTATCTGAAGTTGTGCATAGAATATTAAAGAGGTTAGGATGATTTGTCTAATTCAATAAATCTTTCATTCATAGAACTTATGGAAAAAAGTTGCACAATTTCTTTTAAAACATAGATAAATGATTATGTCAAGTTCCAAATTTCTGTTGCATTTTAAGATTATGATTTTAAAATAAGGTTCTTCAGTGTGTAACCCGCCGAATCATTTTATTCAGTTTAAAACAATAGTTCAAAGATATTATAATGAAAAAAATTGTATAAAGACAATTATTTTGGATGATAACTAAAAGTGCAAATTTTGTAGCTTATACTTAAAAAATAGAGGAATTACTTTGTTTAGTGTTTGATAAAGACATGTAAATAGTTTCAAAAAAAGCATTCAGAAATGTAAATTAAAAAAAGGTGTATGTATATAATTGCAAGAACATTAACCAATTCGTTGCTCCCTTTTTTGGAAAATTAAGTAAAAATGGATCAGATCTTTTTGTAACACTTTCTGTCTGTCTAGATAACATCTAATGCTATACTTTGACAAATATAAAAACACAAATTGGCAATTCATTACAAATTTTTATAAGATGCAAAAATCTAAAAGATGAAATTTTAAATAGTAATTTTTAAGAGAGTCATTCTTTGTGAAGATGGCATACACTCAGTTGTAACTCTGTCTAAAATTTGCTTTTAAAATCTCAGATTTTAGTTGAATATAATGCTGGATGTTAATGTTGCATAGGCACTTTAACTCCGTTGACCTTGAATTGAGCAGGAAAAAAATCAATGACTGGTTAGATACACTGTACTATATATAAATATCTTATATAAAATATTATTCACAAATTAATATTATGAAATAATATTATTTCATATAATATTAATGATAACAATCTGCCAATTACAAAACTAATTTTAAAAATGTTCTAATAGTAGAACACTAAGCTATAATTAAGCAGAATGAGAACATATATTATAAGTACACTTAACAATTATTTTTTTTTCAAACATTTTGAAACAATTTCTTTGTGTGTGGATGCATAAGAATATGTACTAACTAGTAGGACACTAAATTTCGCCATTAATAGATATGTTTCTAATGCTTGGATGTAATACTAGGACTAGGAATTGTACATATTTGCACCTTGAAACCTATATTTTTTAATATTAATGTTTTCTACAAATGGCATCCTTTAGAATGAAGTTATTAAATTTAAAATTATTTTCAATTTGCGTGAACTCTTGTGTAAGAGCGAAAATAAATATCTTTATGGTTTTAATTGCCTTTCTTCTGAATTTATCATATTTATTCCTATACTAATAGCTTTTAATTATTGCCATTATAGAGTTGCACTTATCCTTAGAGTATTAATGTATTGAAATTTTTATTTCAGGTTATGTCTTGCTCATCCCAAGTTTTGAAGGGAAAACCTTTGTATCATACAACACTACAGAATTTTTATGCAGATCACAGAAAAAAATATGTATCATATAATTAATAAAATAATTCGTTTTAGTGCATTTTTATTTTAGTATGTTTTTTCCCCGTTTACCAACAGTATTGATACCCAGAAAAATAGCAGTTGTTTGAAATTACCAGGAGTTGCTTTAAAAAAAAAAATGGAAGTGTGAGTAAATCTATATAGATCCCTCAAATTCTTTAGCTCTTTGTTAAATACTTTAAAAAGAATAACTTATTCTTGTTCTGATAACAAAGTTATCTATAAATTTATGGCCTCGATGTTCAGAATTAAATTAAATCCCACTGACTCACCCCTAAGAGTACAGAAATCCCTAGCTTGGATCGTCGAATTTTACCATTAAAAAAAATTTTCAAAGCGGCCACTTACAAAAAATAAATGAATGATTTCCTATTTTAAGTCTTAAGACTTCTGTAACCATTTATAATCTACAACTATGCCTTTAAGTTATTGAAAATATACCTAATGATCAATGTATTTATGTTGGAAATATTTCGTATGCTAATTTTGATGAAAATAACTCAATATGTAAAATTTTTAAGCGTTTGCATAAAAATGGTTTCATACTATCACTTTGCAATTTAAATCGAATACTTAAATTATTTGTCTCATTTATTATTTAATAATTAATGAGAGGTCTTGAGGGAAGTAAATGATCTTGTTAATGAATATTATCTGGTTGACTTGAAATTTTTCATGGTTCATTATATCTCAGCCGTTTCGGCGTCTTCCCAATTCAATCTGTTGATTAGTCTATTTTATACATAGTCTTTTCATCCCATTTTTTTCTTTTTTTATTACAATGATTATATTTCAGGGCCCTAATTGTAATTTTGTAGTTTAGTAAATTATTTATTATTTCCAGTATCAGAAAATCTAATTTTAAATGGTTATTTATTTAAAAACTATTAAGTATGGAATTAAACATTAACATTTTTACGAAGGATCGCCCATAATTTTCTATTGAATTGGCTAAAAAAAATTGAAAGTTTTGTTGAAAACTATTTTTTTGTTTTCGTTTTTTTTTTATTCCATTATTTATGTAATTGTGTTTACTATTATGTAATAATGTATTATGATTGTTATGTTTGATGAATGAATAAGGATTTCTGTGCTAACTAACTCCAGGTAGTGCAGTCTAAAAAAATTGTTTTCAAATAATTCCTTCCTTGAAAAAAACGATAACTATTATAAATAAATATAAATATTATTGAAAAAAAGATAAATGTTTAAAGCAAAAAATAGAAAAATCATTACCATTACTTTAAAATGCATACCTATTAAAAAATTTTATATTTCAATATCTAAGAGAGAAAAACAGAATGGCAAGGGAATATAACATTAACAGGACTGAAATGTCTGCTACGATCTATCAACTATGTTTTTTAATAAAGTTTCTGAATGAAACATATTTTGAAGTCCAATTAAAGAATGATATTTATAAAATAACAATAATAGGAAATTCGAAGTTAATTATTTTTTTATAATACTCCTTTGAATTTTTAAACACAATAAATTATACAAATATATTAATTAAAAAAATATTAAAAACTTTTTTTAATAAAACAAATTAAATATGAGAGGCTAAAGTTCAAAAATTTAATAATTTTTAAATTCCCAGGTATTTATTTTTTGAAAAAAATAATGTATTTTTAATTAAGTTAAATATCTCAGTGTTTTTTTAAAAATGTGGAGAAACTGCATGAGCTTTAAAAGTTTCAAATTCACAAGAAGACAATTCATTTGTCATAGTTAAAAAAAAATGTCTTTTCAATTAAAAAAAAAATTTAATAACGTAACTGCTTCAATGAAACACGTGTTAACTTAGAAATGTAAATAATTCTGCGATACCAAACGAAAAAGTTTTCGACTTTTAACCTGTATTCTAGACTCCTTTGAATATTCAAAACTAAATTAGCCTCCCCTAAAAGTCTTTACTGTCCACTAGATTGCAGTAGCACCTGCCCATGTTGGGAGTTGGTGTTTAAATTTTTTGTTGTTCTATTACATTCAATTAATCAAGAAATAACAAAACACATAAAAATATATAGTTCTTTTCTATGAAATGCCTTGTTAGTACTCAAATTAAGCTATGAAATTTCTGTTTTTACGCCTAGTTCATGCACTATTTTACCCAGTCGATTTGTGCTACGGTTTTTCTGTATGTAGGGCTTTTTTATTGATTTTTGCATTAATTTCAAAACTAAATCCATATTTTCACTTTTTTATCAAATGTTTTAGATTAGTCTATAGCAGGGGTTTCCAACTGGCGGCCCGGGGGTCGCATCCGGCCCGCGAACCGAAATATATTATTTGTCATTTTTTTGCGCACAATTTTCGTAAAAACTCTATATGGGTTTAAAATACTTTTCTCGTTAATAGAAACCTAATTTCTTCCTTTCTGATACATTTAACATACCAATGGTGCAAAAAAATTTACTTCTCGGATTTTGCATCTAAGAAAATATTTATTCAAATACAGAAATAATCATGTATGTTACTCTTTTTTATTTATTTATTATTTTTTTTTTGTATTTTATGAATATAATTCAGCTTGTGTGTATCAAATTTTCTCGAAGAAATTCTCCGATTTAACTTTTTGAAACCACTCATTTTGGACGAAAATATTTACACACACATTTGTAAATTTTAAAGGTAAATATCTATTCTCTGGTGGTTGCAGCAGACAAACCTCAATTTTCTCATTGAACATTTTGTGTGGTACTATGTAAGTTTTAATACCAACCTTTTTAAAGTTTTCTATCTTAACAATTAGATATCTGTTGCACATTAATTGCTTAATACGAAGGTGCACATTAAAGTTATTGTAGCCCGAATTTTTATTATTTATTTAATATTTTTAGAAATATTATCAGTAACAATTAAGCATTTTTAAAAATTAACTTCTTATCTTAATTTGTGATTCAATACTTTTGTTTTGTACAACTTGGTAAAAATCTGACAGTAATATTTAATGTTCCTTCAAACATAAAAGAGTCCTACATAAAATTTTGATAAAGTTGCGGCCCGCTATTTGATTTGTGTTGTTAATTGTGGCCCCCGGCCTCATGTAAGTTGGAAACTCCTGGTCTATAGGGAATTGTCTAACAACAAATCTGTGAGCGAAAATCAAACATTCAGAACACTGACTTTTATTAATTACTTCAATGATAAATCTGGAATTTATAGTTAAATAAATAAGAAAAATCCTGCTATGTAATACTACTACAAAATCTTCATAAATTTATAGTTTTGGAAAGGGAAAAATTCCACAGTACGAAAATACAAAGTTACTTCACATTGTGAAATTAAAAATAATTTAACATGATTAATAAGTGCAACAAACATTTAATTAGACATAGTTGAGTTACTTATTCAATACACTTTAAACACCTTAAACGTAACAAAATAGATTAAAACTGAAATTAATGTATTTTCGAATGGAGATCTTATCTTGCCGAGAAAAAATGCCGATTTGTGTGACTTTTAATTTGTACTTGTTTTAACTTTGCGGTAGCATAAGTGGCAGAAAATTTTAACGTTAAGTTAATACATGCAATAAATAATAAAAATTAATTCAAACTCTTAAAATATAGTTTTAAGTATAATCGATAAAGTATTAATAATCACATACGCAATCAGTTAAGTACATTTTATAAGTCAGCAAGATCAGTATTCAAAATAATGATTCAAGATCATTTGTAATATTTACCAAACTGAAATCTATTACCATCCCGTGCAACCGTAGAAGTTAATCCAAGATGACTTTTGAATAAAAATTTCAAAAATACCATTCAATACCATATCAATTATAATTGGATAAGTGTGACCGATATAAGCGAAACGTTTCAACCAGCTTAGAAAGGTCTGCTGGCTTAAATGCAAAAAATTAAAGATTTGTTGTTCCTTGATTGTTTGAAAACATACTTTGTTGAATTGTTGCGTAATGAAGCACTAAAAATTGCAAGCATGGATCATGGTGTCTTACAGAATGAAGATTCCAAACTGTGACACACACTGTGAAGGATTTGTCCATCCATGAAGGGTTGCCCATTGTACTTACGCCCAAAGTTATCGTGACGGGCTTTTCCGGCCTAGTGGTCTCGCCCTCTCACTAAACGCTCAGTAGCTAGGAGGGAGCGGGTTCGAATCCACAACCCTGGATGTATCATAGTGCTGTCCTAAACTAACTTGTGCTATCTGTTCTTCAAACTTGCCTCGTTCCAAACAGTACTTTGTAATATGCACGCAAGCCTGTATTATGCACGTGTAACAATAATGGAACTAGGGTAACGTTGCTAAAGAACAACGGAAAAAAATTACTTTGGAACAAAATAGATTATTGCCTAAATTCCAAGTTCTTTGCGTCCCGCAGTGGACTGATCGTTAAGACACGGTTCTCAGCAGATCATCAAAGTCAAGCATCACTGGCTATGGTCAGCGTGCGGGTGGGTGACCACTTGGATCAGCCTNGGTCACCCACCCGCACACTTCTATGTACGTAAGACACTTAACTTCGGTGATCTTCTGGGAACCGTGTCTTAACGATCAGTCCACTGCGGGACAAATTGTGATGGCATGTCTTCGGATTATCCTCAGGGATGTTTCCCAGACCGTCGCCAATAGCCCATTGTGCAGCTCTAGTGCGACGTAAATGAACAACAACAACCAAGTTCTTTGCCCGAGAATTTTTTCGACCCAACGCTCTGAAGTTTATAGGTAGTTAATTCATATCTCGCCGTAATTCTGGATGATCTTTGCGTTGTCTTCTCTGTTTTTTCTGTTTCTTTGAAGTTCGTTTTACTTCAGTACGCTTAAAGGGTTAACTCTTGTATGTTCGCTTGTTATCTCAGATGTGAGTCGCACGAACATATGACCTTGTTACAATCCGGAACCTTTGCTTCGCTGCCAGATTTAAAAACGTTCTGCACAAGCATTTAGTCGCCAAAATAGTCGAACATCGTAATAAAATAAGCGTAAAATAAAGTAAAGTAAGTAGACAATGAACGATAGATTAAACCTGTGATGGCAAACCAAAAA